TTTGTACCACAAATGGAGATTCTATTGAAAGGCACTTATCTCCGAGTGTATTCTTATTGTGATATCACACAATTTGCCTGTCTCACCTTTTGCTGTCTCACTTAATACCACACCTTTATATTTCAAGTTGACTTCTCCCCATTAAAAGTTCATTTTTCCCTGTAACTGTAAGACTTGGACACTGATGGATTCCACTTCAGTATCCTTACCCCAATTTCAATTAAATACAGGTATACAGAGTCAACTAAAACATCACTCCCTTGGTGCATGGTCTTATGCATGTGATGTTATTTGACTCACCAAAGGATTTTTTTCTTTTTTTCATAAGTTTCAATATATTATTCTTCATTACACAATGAAACAGCATCAAGGCACATACGGTTGCCGTTAGGCTTACCCTTATTTCTCTTGTCCTATGTGGTTATTTCCATTCAATGCACAGGTCTTGTTTTTGAACTTCGTGCAAGATAAGAAGCTTGATGTGCACTATTTTCCTCTTCATCATATTAAAGCCAAGGTGTAGCTTCCGTAAGAACCAGTATAAGTTAATATGAATATTTAAGGAAATGTGTTACCTACTGATGCTTTTCTTGTATTGTCCACATTAAGTATGAGCGTACTGAATTTTCCTGAAATCCTGCTAAATTATTTAATGAAAGATAGTCCTTCTTTTCATTGTTTATGTCTTAGGGTATACGTAAGTATATTAAAATAATACAATTTAGTAAATTTTGATGTGCTACCAGCATATAAAAAATTATCCTCGGACCCCTGTCAACAGAGTTATCTATTAGAAGACAACCCTACACAGGGTGATTGAGGCTCATTCCCTGTGTCCTCCACCCCCCCACCCCCCAGATATCTGCTAAAAACTGCCAAATGACATCAGAATGTGACTCAGAACTAATCACAAAGCCCTGCAATGGAATGTATATTTTTATAAGCACCCAACAGATATTAGCATGATACAAGATTTGAATTATGTAATAGATGCAGCATAATTTAAGTCAGTGAGTGGTGTAACTGATTAAACTACAGTGAGAGTTGAGAATAAGGGATCCAAGTTTGGTGTAACTCACATTCAGGTGTGATGTACATGTACATGCATGCTACATACACCATATCTGGATCTTTTGTTCTTGACATCCCTCTTGGTATGGTATGAGCTTTTTGGTTGAAATGCAAAGTCAGATCCAGGGGGCATGCACTCGCGCATGCAGACATCTTGTACAATGAAGCAAAATTATTTTCTTTCCTCCTTTCATCTATCCTATCCAGCCCTTTTAGTAAAATCTAGGACCCCCAATGAAATTATCTGTATTTGTTACCTTCTATGCTAAAAAATTAAGCTAAGGATATATGATTTTATGATCTGCACACTTCTCATGGCTAAAACAACATCTTCTGGACATCTACTACTAAACAGAATAGAAAAAGAGAACTAAAATTGCTCAGAAATAATCTCACCTGTTTCACTGAGACCCCTTATTTTTCTTCATATTCCCATTTTCCTCATCTAATCATGGCAAGCATCCAATGTTTTCATAATAGAAATGACTATTGATACCACCAATACATTTTTCCAACTAAAGAACCAAAACAACCACCCGTCAGTTTTTCTTTCTTGGCTGTTTTTTTGTCTTGGTATTCCGAATGAGTTCACTGTACACTGGGGATATACACATATAAACATGCAGGTATTTGCAAAGGGCCCATCAATAATTGATCAGTCTGAACAAATATTCTGTCTTTCAATGGAAGTTACCTATGCACTTAGTAGTTGTTTCTGACTAATTACTTGGCTAATCATGGCTGGGGATATTGATTTATGTCACAAATAGGTCAGGGCTTTTATTTATAGTTTTTTTTTGTTGTTGTTGTTGTTCTTCAGACTATGTGTACTTTCTTTTTCAGTTGAAATCACGGCACATATTTCATATTATAAGGAAAACCAAACACAAAACATACTTAGGGACCATTCCCACAGATATTTGGATTGTTCTATCTCCCTGTGGAGTCTCACTAAATTGCTGTCAAACTAACTGGCTTAAACGTCTGTCACACCTAGTAAAACTGCTAGGGGGTAATTATCTTTACCCCTAGCTGATTCAGTAGGTGTGACAAACATTTAAGCCTCTTGAGCTGATAGCAATTTAGCGTGAACCCCCAGGGAGTTAGGTTGATCCAGATGGATCGATCCAAGTATGGGAACCCAGTCTTAAAGAAAGGTTTGTCAGAATAATATCAATCTTATGTCTCATTTATGGTCTCATAAATTTCTTACTTAAAAGTTTGAAAAACTCTTCAGTATTATATAAAACTGCCCTAGACAAAACACAAAGAAAATTTCCAAAAAGTATTTTTTAAAGATTATAAAAACGAATGCTAATCTGAAAGAATAATGGCAACCAAATCTAAAACATAAATTGCCATTTTTCTGTTCATTAGTGCTAACATTTTAAGGAACAATAACTGACACATAAGACGCAAACATGAAAACAAAATAAAGAAGACTTACACATTGCATCAAACAGACATCTTTGTGTACATCAGGTACACACCAAATAAATATCTCTGTCAAGGTGGCACTGAGATCTGATAGGATATGTAAAGAATCTTAATCCCAGTAATTTTTAACACTTAACTCCCTATCACTAACACTAGTCTGCTCCAGAACTGATAAGGCAGATATAATGATACTCATGCATGCTTTTGGCTACAATCTATACAGTGTTTAGTTCACTGAAGGTGTGGAAATTGATATGTCCCAATGCACTGGGAAATATCACCATTGTTTAATGGTTTTATGATGTTTAATCATGCAGTTTGTTAAAGCAAACTGATTGTATAAATCCTTAGCTTAAGTGCTGGGATTAAACTGATAACTACTCAGTGGGCTCATGTGCTAAAACCGCTCTGGTAGGAATTTAATTTTTTTCTCTCCGAAAAATTGTATCTGCTAAATGATATCTCAATGAATTTCTTTGCATGGTGACAGTTTCTTTTTAATTTTTTTTTTATATGGGTAACTTTAAGTACTTCACCTATTCTTTGAAGATATGAACTTTTTTAAATATTAATTTTGTGCCCTTTTATGACAGCATCTTTTGTACCTGTAGCTTTAACAACCCAAGAGTCCTTTCTTTCTCCCCTTTCAATTTATTCCACACGTATAAAAACAACAAGATTTTTAAAAGCACTTCAGCAACAGTGCACCACCAAAAATACATGTACAGAAAAGCATAAACAGCTTTGATCACCTGCTGTTTTCAAGCAATTATCAAATTACTCCTAATTGGCACCTGTCAGGCACCTAATGAATTCACAGTGTTACTTGATCAGAGCAATTAGCTACTGTGCCAGCATTAGCGTTACATACACCTCCCCCTGCCGTCTGTCAGCTGACACACACAGACGGCTGACTGAGGGTTAACATGTACAGTGATGTAGATGATCAGAACTGACAAGTGCGTGTGTGCTACCAGTGACCTCTAGTGGCAAATTTTGTCTTGCAGAAGTTTTGTTGGCACTGAACTGAAAAGCATCATAAAACTTAGTGCAGGACATTTTTCATGTAAAAATGCTTATTTTAGTATATTCTTAAAGATGGGCTTTTGTTATTTTCATCAACTTGTTTTTATTTTTTTTCACTCTTTATATGATATATTTTCTCTTTATCAAAAGTTCCAAATTACTGGTTTAAAGATCTACACTATATAAATGGGTTGAGGTAAGGTCACATAAGTGGCTAATTATACTGCACTATATATACTGCTTAAAACTCAAGTACCACTACACTTAAACTCCACTTTAAACCATTATTTTTAGTTTCAACCTTAACTTCTTTTACACAGTGTTGCATATCTGTTACATTACCCAAAATGGCCAATGAGGAAGCATGTGGTCCATGTACCTGTTCTGGCAATATTATAGGGACTGAAACTGACACTATATACACTCTCAGGGGCCTTTAATATTTTCTACTGGGCTCTTTAACGTGTAATTTCAAGATGACAGCCCATGGGCACAGGTTAACTGGGACACTACTGGGGCAATCATTCCGATGGGTCACTGTTTGTGCCTCATAGCCCCTGAGCCTGTATATTCAAAACTAAGACAGTCTAAATATAAGTGATATGAGGGCATCACCATGCCTCATACATGTGAGTTGCCATGGATGTCTAATAAGAAAACTAAGAATTCATCAATTTAGCTGCTTATTTGCATGTACATATTGTACAGTTATATGCATTGTTAATATATTAGTCTCCATACTAGGGTGGGGAAGATCTATGATTAAAATAAATACATCCAATTTTGAGGACATCATCTACCTCGCAGTTGTACAGCTTGATTTAAAACAGCCACTCCCTGCATACGTATCATGAAATTTATCTATATTTTAAAAATATTTGATACCCAAGTTTGAAAAATCACTACATTATATCACATAATATTGTTTTCTAATTAATCACAGACAAATAATAAATGATAACAATAAATAATTGCTCTAATAATCTAATGAAATATACCATAATCATATCTACCTCATTGGTCTTAAGAATTATTTATTTCATATTTTGAAAATATGCTTACACAATAAAAACATAACTCTATTCAGAATAAACCAGAAATTGGCAGACCTAGTTTAGCCATGACAATGGTTAAAAATCCGGCAGTGGACAACTACTTACTGTGACTAAACAGTGTAAATAATCTACTTACCTGTGTGGCGAGTAGAGTAATCAAAGAATGCTAATTAACTTATGTTTTTTCTACTGCTAGTTCCTCCCATCTTATACAATGCTACAAACAAACCATGTCATTTTCAATGGAGCAACCATTTTGTGTCTATGTCTTAGTTTTTAATTCTTCAGTTTGTGACCCTTGATCACCTTCAGGTTTTTTCTGTCCAATCTTATAATTTGCTACAAACATGTCTTTTTTCACATATCTAACAATAGTAACATTTAATTTTCAGACATAATTGTTTTACTCACCCTTTAATGAAGAAAACTCCGAACAATTGAGGTCCAATATCAGGCAGCCAGACAACTGAGAAAAAAGTGAAATCTTTGCCAGACAGCACAATTGGAGCTTCAATTTTGAAACAGGACAGCTGGAAGTCTGAAATAAAATAAAGCCAGACACTTTTTACATTACATCTTCTTATTCCTTTCACTTTTTGCATGGTACATCCTTGCCAAGTCAAAATCAGATGGTTCCCTACTCAACATAAAGATAACAATATTTGCTTTTAAGATAAAAATCCTGAACTTTTACACACGGAGACACATTAGTTTTGTCTACCAAGTTTGGACTTCTCACACGTGCCTACCTGTTTGCCTGTATTCCACCTATTAGTGCAGGGGTGTGACAGGGATCATAGCGGGGCAAGGCGGAGAACGTTTATTAAGTCTGGTTTATAACACTGGCAATTAATTCAACATAAATTGTAACACTTGAAAGCATCCCCATGAGATAATGTCTTGGATCGCCTAAGCATGGCAGCAATTAAATCAAGATATATATAAGTATGCCAGATTTACACGTGTGGTTTACATGCACTCAGTGCAATTTCGGTAGAACAACTGAAATGTTAAAAAAATTAAGTCTTTAGTTTGTGTAGTTCAATAATGCAAAAAAGAGTTCTTGTGAATTTGATTTACAGGGGTTTAAAAATAATAAGGAAAATAGTCACTTGTAGTCACTGCCTACAGCACTTCCTTGTCAGAGCATGAAGTGTACCATTTGGTTTGCTTCAATTTGCACCAAGTTTTGTGTGTAAATGGGCCTATGATAAAGCATGTTAAAGTATTATGCTAAGGATGACACATACTACAATTCCGGCATTCTTTTAATAAACAATTTCCTGAATTACTCTTGCTACTGTAATGGTTATGAAGAATTTTAAAACAGCTCACAGCAAGAGACTTACTTACAGACAACTTCTTATAAATCCAATTTTAATTGGAATTTAAATGGTAATCATATAACCACCTCCTGAAATTGTTTGCAGAAATGACAGGTACCGTTACATCTACAATGAGAATTCAAAGAAAAAACTAAGAAAATAATTTTCAGGTAAATGACCAACAATATGACCTGGATGCCAAATGGATGACTTTACTGGTAGTGTTAGGCACAGGTACGATGGGTCGTCTGTGGTCAAGTAATACCAAAGAGTGATATAAATTGGCATCTGCCTTTGCCTTGAATATACCTCACCATACTTTCCATTTTTTATATGTATGGACATTGAAAAAAAACTTTTGCCATTGTTATACCACTCGTGTATTTTAGAGTGTTTTTTAAATGAAAAAATGGATAATCCTTAAGGTCATACAACCCTCATATTAACATAACCATACATATCTAAAGAACAGCTCACACTTAATCTCATTAGAGCAAATGTGTATGGAATCAAAAGAAAAAGAAGGACCTTTAAGAAAGAAACACCACTAATGGACAGCCATGATTAATGACCAGATCTCTTCTTGACCACATTTCTCCTTTCATTATTCCCCATTGGGGCTTACCTGACAAATCCTGGATTACAGATTCTTATTGAGACCTCATTTATCACCCACATAACAAGTCAACCCATACCTGGACACTGCCACTGTGCCAGGATGGGCTTTATATGGCTTAAGACGTATTTTCCAATCCCAAGGTTGCTAGCATTTATCGTTCTAAAATTGCGTCAATGGTCACATTTTGTTTACCATGATGATATCATTTTATCGTTCACTTTTGAAACGGACCTCTGTTTTCACTTCTTTGCAGGCTTATGTCAAATATTTCACCTTAGATGATAGGGACTAAACAAACATTTTTCTTTACATTAAGCTAAGATAGCACAAAAATGTAATTTTTGTCAATCTCTCTTCAGATATCTGGAATAAGTTTCTGTTGATGAACAGGAAAAGTAATTTTCAGCACCTCACCAAACCACAATTGCTGCTTGTTGTTAACTAACATTCTTTCAGTTCAACCACAAACACCATTTTATGTTGAACAGGCAGAGGACACCTATTCATGTTCTGTATACATTTACATGATAATAAAGGATGGCTCAGAAACCACATGATTGTATTTATCAAACATGTTATAAAGCTGCTATAAGCTTATCTTGCACAAATCAGTGTTCTGGTGCTTCTGCCTGACTACCTTGGTGAAATTATTGACCAACTAGACTTGACCCCTAGAATTTGCTAGTGTACATATGCACTGGTAATGCAAGCCCCAACCCCATCCCCACTGCTGGTCCCATATTTACGCCACAGATCAAAACTATAACAGAATTTAGAAAAAGTGGATGCTGGCAAACTACAGGGACAGTTCAAAACTTAGTTTAGTTGACAATGACAGTAACATAAGTAGCTAGACTGATGACAATCTTTATAAGAAAGAACATGCCCATGGTAGACCAAAACCACAAATCTCTAATTGTGTAGATATATTGTTTTCGATTTCATTAACAACTGACCAACACCTGACAACCGAGGAAACTGATGGTAAAAATGTCCGAAATATGCCTTAATTCTTAATTAGCATTGCTTTGCATTTGTTCCAGACTGTGTAGAATAGCAGATAGCAGTTGAACGTTATGCCTTTGGACACTTCATATACATAGGGACACTTAAAAATTTTAATGCCTATGGAAAAAATTATGCTCCTACTTCTTATGAGTTGTACTCTTTCTCAGAAAACAGCAAAGGAAACTCAAGGTATGAAATATGGCAGTTTGATGTCCAAAGGCAGTGCTCTCCATCTGCCAAACTGTACACCCTTATGTGCTAGAGGCTGAATGAGGTTGAATGCCATAAGAAAATTCTCTGTATATTCTTATGTAGATATTTGAAATGCATTTTGAAAATCCGGAGTGCATTTCAAATATTCAGGCCCATTCTTGTGGTTGGCCCAATTGTTTTGCTCCTGTTTAAAATTTTCAAGGTGCATTCCAAGTGGAGATATATTGAATGGCATCCGAAGTGTATTCTAATTGCTCTATGACTGCATTCTAAATATTCTTACGGTATTCCAACAGCTAGTATTCTGATTGCATTTGAATTTTTAGATCACACTTCAAACATTCAAGAATATGTACAGAATTTTTATTCTGATGGCTCATTTGGCCTCATGGGTGACTAGGGTACCAATAAAGCCAAAGATATTTTTGGCTCCCAAAAAGTCAGAAATCCCCTGATAGTTGGCAAAATCTCATCCATGATAGAGACAGGAAACTGACTTGGCATGAAAAAACCCTGACTGCTGAAAATGTGGGTTTAGACATTTTAAGGTGCCAGTTTTTGGGAATCCTGAAGATCAACATCCAGTTAGACTGGCTGTGAACACATCCTCATAGAAGTATTTATGCATCATGCAAATATTTCAAACTTTATCTTAAATCCCATTTTATAGTTGTGTATTTACTACAATTATGACAGGATGCAAGCCATTCTTGTTTCATGTACATATAACTCATTTTATGGCCTCACATAAAAACAAGCACAAATATATTTCATTATCATAATACATCTTTTCATGTACTTCAATGGAATGTGGGGTTAAACTGACCAATATATCCCACGTTCCAGAACCATAAGACAAAAATTTTATCCTTTTATCTAGTAATTTTACAATATCTCAATATTACACTTATACAAGGAACTGCATTCTAAAGTGATGAAACATCATAATAAAGTGTACATTGCCAGCCAAGTGGACACTCCTTCCATGGTATCTCAGTACAAATTAAAAGAACATTACGTAATCTGTGGCTCAAACAACTTTTCAAAGTGTTACGGATCAAGAAATTTCTGATTAAGCTATATCTGTTTGTCATAGTGTATTTGCAGACTATCAAATATATAAATGAATCTAATAATATGATTTTATAATTCTTTCATGACAGAGAAGACACAAATTAGCAAACTAATTAAAACATATTTTGGTGTTTTGACCCAATATATTTTTGGGGGGTGGCAATGAAAAGTTAAACAATCAGGCACCTGTTACATGTGTGATTGCCCAAAAACTGAACAAAAAACAACAACCACAACAAAAAAAAAAATCAAAATGTTAATGGTCTTATTATGTCAACAAATATATCTTCCATCTGAGCCTGAAACAATCCTCTGATTGTTGTGATTTGATCTTCATAAGTGTTTTTGGATGTGTCAGAATGTTCCTCTGTGTAATTTGGGTAAATTAACTACTAATATCTACATCTGTGGGTTTCAGGATCAGATATAAATTGATAAATAAAGACTAACAAGGCTGCACTCTTTTCAATCCAATCCTACTTTATAATAGGGCCATTTTGTTACATATAAATTAAACAGAAGATTCACATATTTTTATTCAATTTCTCTGCTTCCACTTTCATTTTACTTAATAAATCATCCTTTTCAAACAGCTTCATGTCAAAAAAAGTGAGTCTTGTAATATCCTGCTGATATCCATCTCACAGTCTTATCTACAAAATCTTATCCATTCCTAATGTGACAAATGCTACTAATTATAACACCTGTAAATCCCAAAAGACATTACTGTTCATATCTAGAGATGAAAATGACCAAGTCCATGCAATGCTCAGGTCACATTAACCCAATATGTTATACCATAAAACCCAACTATATCACAGGAAGAAATCAGCAAAATTCTTCAAACACTTTAAAGTTGAGCAGAAATACTTTAAATATCATAGTTAACACGAATGCTGTCCCTGGCATTGGCATGAGGTGATACACTGTAGATCTTGTAATAGTGAACCTCCATGACAACTTTGTGAGTCAGAAAGATATGCAATAGTTTCATTACATTGCGGACTTTGGGACCATTCACCTTAGTCCGTAAAGGCCATCCCCTCCATTAATGTCACATTAACCCCATGAGAAACTCTACAGTTTCATTCGTTCATTTCCATTTATTGCACTGACAAGGTCTGTGTAGTTCACACTATATTTTATGTTAACGAAGCCAATAGTACTAATTGTAATCAAGCAAGAGGCTAAACAGCATGAGTTTCAAATTGATATTACATTTTTCTGTTTAGTATGTATAGTAATGAACAAAATGGGTGAATGCACAGTATTAACTCTTTTTATTCATCTTGCAAACAGATATGCTAAAATTAAAAAAAAAGAAAACTTGGAAACTGCTTATGGGCTCTTACTGTGTGCACTTGGTTGATAATCTGAACATAATAGAGAGCGAGAGAGCAAAACTTTACAGTTGGTCCAATTTTGCCTCAAATATGGCATGAAACAGATGTCTTGCCTAATTTCAAGAGTTTATGACACAAAACATCCATGAATGTGTTATTAGAAAAAATGGATCTAATTGGTTTAATAGCTCTTTGTACAGGCAAGCATGGACTAAAGCACAGTAAGGTGAGAGTTGGTCATCCAAAACTGATACAATGGATGGTTTTACCTTACTGAGGAAGGTCTTCATTTTCTATAGACGCTTTTATGGTATGCAATATGTACATGTAATGTCTGAACTGCCCATGGAAGAACATTACATTGGGAGAATACTGCCTTTCTGGATCAAACACTGTAACTACTACAAAATATTTGAACTTGAACTGAAAATATGGTCAACAATAAACACTACCCAAATTGAACAAATAAGATCCAAATTTGAGATGCAACCAAATGAGAACCCCAATGCCACTTTCAAATATGTTGTAATATACTGTAACACCCCATTCTCATAGATTAGATCGACCTACATTGGATCGACCTAACTCCCTGGGGGTTCACGCTAAATAGCTGTCAGCCGGGCGGACACGAAAGTTAATTACCCCTTAAAGCTTGTAGTAGGCGGGGACGGACACTTAAGGGGGATTATCTGACAGTAATCTACTGAGACTCCCCGCGGTGATAGATCGATCTAAAAGTTGTGAGAACAGAGCCTAATACATCAATCAGTAAGCAGCATGCACGTGACATTCTACAGGTCAAATAAGATATTCAATTCTGAAAGTAAAACTTTTGTTCCTGAAAATTCAATAAGACAAGCTTCACATTGTTTTGTCACTGAGATACATGCCATACCACACTTTATGGTATCTGAGGTCTTCTAAAATAGGAGGCCAATTTGAAGATGTAGATTAACTACTGACAGTCAAAGAAATCCTTGTTTTTAATCTTGCTTATCAGACAAATACCCAACACAAATCTATGATCTGTCTCCATCTTGTTTGAAAAAGTACTTTGAAGTTGGCTTAATATGTTTCATCATGTATGTTATAATCGTCTGCCATTAATGTCATGGGTAAGTCATCTGTGCTGGCAATGCAACCAATCCATTTTTTAAAGTACAACTGTGGCAATGTTTACCTTTTCGAAAACTTAAGATATTAGGAGCTCTTAAAAATTACTTAATCGATTATCACAATTCAAATGAAAAGAAATGATGCCAACTTATGTTTCCCAGCATTTTAGCACTGGTAAAAGGAAATCCAGAATGTGTCTACTTTGTGACTAAGCCCAAACAGATTTCTTCATGTTCATTTTATTCACCTATTCACTTATCTATTTATTTTTCAAATTACAGCAATCCCTTAGAAGTCGAATCAAATGGCACACATGTCACTGAGATTAAAATAAGCTGCTAACATCATCTGAAAATACTCTAACCAAAAGCTCAGACAAT